CATTTTTTCTATTCTTTAACGCGACGAGGTTTTGTAGGAGATTTTCTTATCCCAAAATATTACGTAATTCCTTAAAAAGCCATTTGTGAATTTTTTTAAATTGGGTTGAAACGTGTTTTTATATATTTTTCAACATTTTTTAAGTTCGATGGGTCATAGGTTTTCTTTTCGCTCACGAAGAAATACCTCAAAATCAATATCACGATTCATCCACTAAGGGTAGTCAGCAGGTATAAAATATACATTTACAAAATCCTCAATATCTTTGTAGTTACATGATTTACCGGTTTGGTTTTTGTTTGCGAAATATTTCCATTCTATACATTTGGAATTCTATACATATTTAATAACTCTGTCCCACAAAAAAAACATTTTTCTCTTTTTACACTACGTGGTTTTTATAGAGTTTTCCATACCCAAAAATATATCCGGAAGCAGAATTTTATCATTTACCGTTTCCGAAAAATATTGGTTTTTGTAAAGTTGCATGATTTTCCGAAAAAACGAGGTAACTATAAAGTAATTACGAGTTTTGTTTCACTTTGTAACAGGTACTTTATTAGATATTGGAATAATTTCATTGAATAATGACCAGAGCGCCCTTGAATGTACCTCCAAACATTAAAATAAATTTTGTCTTGATTCTCTGAGAAATGAGATGTAGAATCGAATGGCGTACCCATATTTTTGGCCAATTTAGTGGGTAACATTTTGGATTATTGCGTAGCTATCGAAGACTATCGCCTCAATGCGGGCGAAACCGCGATGGCGGATACTACTAAAAAATATTTCCAAATATCCTTTTCAAAAATACGTTACACAGCGTCTTACAATATACGAGAAACACTCGTGATTTGCTTATTTCCACCGAAATTATTTCAATTCCGAGACACATTGGTAGCGTAATATCCTTAGGCGGGTCTTGAGACAACTGGTGATTTCGCTGCGGTGAAACTATCTGCTGAAGCGTACGCAGGATATGTGCGTAATGGAATTCAGCCGGGTAAGAGGACGCCTTTATTACATACCAGGACTCGGAGGCAAACAATTTCGACAGGCAATTTCTATTCAAGATTAGCCTGGTAGCTATCCTGGTCTTGCCTGCATGCCGGTCAAAAACCGCTGATATCAGCTCGCAGACAGTCGTATCGTACCAACGACTACCGCACGGGTCTCAGAGCAGTTTATGCAAATTAGCTGATAATTGTGCAAAAATAAGGGCTTTCCAAGAAGTATCTTCTTTAACAAAGTACATTTTCAAAGAAATACTTGCTCTTCCGTATCGAGTCTTTCCAAATTACCAAATTCATATTTTTATTCATGACAGTAAAAACAATTCATACTACGTTATAGTATGTTATTCGAAGAAACATACCATTCAGAAGTTAGAAATTTGCATTAGCACGAGAGTCAAGTTTCCTATAAGCGATTCGATCGGAAGCATCGTACTTCGTGAGATGGTAGTCGTAGATAAGTAGGTAATCTCTAGAAAATAGATTCTCAAAGTTTGCTCTTTCATATCGAGTTTCTTCAAATCTCCAAATTACTAATTTTATTCATGACAATAAGAACAATTTATACTACATTTTAATATATTATTCAATGGAACATATAATATCATCCACGAGTTAGATATTTGCATTAGCATTACTAATACATGTTTTGTAATTTTTTTACTTTACAAAAAATTTAGGGTCCCAAACGGTTTTTTGCATCCAGGCCCGTTTATAGAGAACGCCGACGCTGTGCGGGAGCTAGATATTTGTATTAGCACAAGAGGGAGCATAGTAGTTGTAATTGAGGATCGTGAGATGGTAGTCGTAGATCAATAGATAATCTCAAGAAAATAGATTCTCAGAGTTGTTTGCTATTTACTATTGAAATTCTTCAAATTTATAAATTACTATTTTTATTCATGACACTGAAAGCAATTTATACTATGTTCTAATGTGTTATTCAATGAAACATGGAATGCAAATTACGTTATAATATGTTATTCAATAAAACCAAGGAGTTAGATATTTGCATTAGTACAAGAGGGAGCATGGTAGCTGTAATTGAGGATCGTGAGATGGTAGACGTAGTTCAATAGGTAAACGATATTCAATTAGACGAAGGGCTTAAACGTTAACGAGCTCGAGGTTTCACCTTTGATATTGCTCTGACCCAGATATAGGTCCGCTGATGACAATTCTAATACGCCAATTAAACAAAAAGTGAGAGACCTTGGATTAAAGGCACAAAGAAACTTTTAATTGAAATTTAAGTCTTCAGTGCTTTTTTCCTCGCTTCTTTTATGTCTCCCCAAGAAGCCATATGATGTAAATTACTCTTGTTTCAATCAAACGAAATTGGATATTTCTTTGCAGAGAGTATGCAATTTTTTGTCTCTGTATTTGACATATCTTCTTGGAGGACTCGTAAAGACTGGAAAATGTTCCATATTTTTATCAAAGGACGATAGTTTCAATTTTACCCCGTTTAACTGACCGTCGTGGACATTTCAGCCTCGGTCACCTTTGCCGGAGCAACAAGCGACAAATTCTGATACGGAACAACTTTTGTATAACCGGCAGAAACTTTCAAAGCTAATAAACGTGCCATACGTAACCAGTTAACAATCGCTGACCGACCTCTATGCCCGTTTCATTTTCAAACCGTGCACATGCACGTACTCTCGTATACGCCAGGACGCGAGCTCAAAACTTATGAACCAATTGGGAACAACGTTCTGTTCAACGATATTCAATTTCTCTAAAACACCATTCCGCTGTGGATAAATTTTTCAAGCCCATGAAGTCTGCCGTTGCGCGCATAAAGGCGCATGAATGCGAGAGATTTAATTCGTCGAGTGAGGAAACGGTTCTAGCAAAGAACATTCGCACGGTGTACCCATTCGGTTTTCAAGCGAATATGCGAACCTATTACGCGGTCACAAAAGGATCGACAATGAATGGAAAATCGTGGAAGAGAAAAGCGTAATTGTAGTTGATTGAAAAATTTCCGTCTCACTATTTTTCCTAGGGGACGGGCGGGGGGAGTGGTGGGCCGCAGGTACCCACCCGCCGTACCGTGCGATTCTCTCGACCGGATGTTTAACAGAGAATGATTGTTCATTTCGATTTAAATTCATGAAATTGTTCCACTTAATCGTTTTCTTTGAGCGATTAAGAGCAGAGCGGAATTTTCAAGTAAAACCCAAGGTAAGTGCGTGATTAAACGTCGGAATTTAAAAGAAAACGGTCGGCAGCGATGAAGAAGCTTTTGCTGCATTTCAAGTCGATTTATTTCGTTGTAAAATGTATTACCTGGAATTTTAGTTAAATATTAATCTCCTGAAAGAATTGTTGATATTTTTCATATTTTGAAAGTCGTTATCAGTATTACTTCCCTTTTTATATGATGCTCCACGTACAACTATTTTTTTGGATGGTGAATAGATGTTCGCAGAGAAGCAGAATACTTGATTGAATAACTGTACAATTCACCAGAGAGCGCAGCATTAGATGAATGCTTCTATCAATCGGAATCAGACTGAGAATAAAAGCATCAAAAAGCGTGGACTGAAAATGTGAGTAAAAAGAGCTCGTTTACAATTTCCATATTTCAATAAATCGAATACCACAAGCGACCGCAGAACGCGATTGAAAAGAAATCTGTGGAAGGATCGAAAGGCAGTCAAAGCTTCGATAATGGAAGCCTGTCGCCCGTCGTCGTTAGATGTTTAAATATAAAACTGGCCGCGCAATAAAAACGGAACGTGACCCATCCGTGATGCGACTCTGTTCAATGATTGGGTTTTCCCTGTGTACGTCCTTTCTTTTATTTCCTACTGACAAACTACCGACAGTATATAAAATATCAAGTGGCTCAATAAATCATTCCTATATTCCACAGCGCAAAATCAAAGAACACGTATGTAAAAATTTGTCAAAAGGACCTGTTCTCGTGCAGTGGTTTTCTTATCTCATGCATTATCAACATTACAGGTAGTAGGATCTCTCTGATCACCGTGCAAACTTGCTCCTCCCGTTTCACGTTTGATCTGTATCTATTACCAAAAGCCGACTAGGGTGACTCGCCAATGGCAATCCGATCGCCTAATCTAACAAGTTTGTCGATCAGCAGAGTACGTCACAGAATGGAGGAAACTTCACAGTGATTAGTTCCAGAGCTTGTCTAATTCGAAATGAACTTAGTTAATGCAGTACGACGTCAATGGACCGTCTTGAACGCTGAATGTGGACGATTTCAAGATTCACTTTAGAATTATTGAAGATAGACGAACAGAAATTAATTTACGCCTATAAAATTCGTAGACTAATTACGCTTGAATTTTCATATTTCTTATATCATAGATTTTTTACTCTTCTTAAATCTTGTCACCTTAAAAGAAATCGTCGCAAGCCACGCTATTCAGGAATCATTGTCCCAAGCTGTACATCATAATTACTGTGGGCGAAGGAGATGTACTAGTTTCATATAAAAATGTTAGCATACGTTACGAAATCGTGAATACAGAGTGCAGTAGCGCGCGGCTCATTCTCCGCTTATGTCGATAATTATTTTTAATTATAAAGTCATATCTCATCCACGTCTATGCGACTAACGATTCTAACATCACACTTTCAAATAGTAAGCATTGAACCCATTTATGTTTTCATACATATATTAACAAGTGTGATTAAAAATGGAAGTAGAGAAATGTTGATAAATCCTCGAATACATTTAATATTGCACCCCTTTCACACTTTTCTGATTCACTCAAAAACCCCTCGATAAAGCAGATTGGAGAACGGCGCGGAGAGCATCTGGACTGCGCATCTGTGAAATGCGTCGCTTGCGAGCAACCCTGTCCATCATCCCCCGAAACTGGGTGCACGTCACACCCTAGTCGTGCATTCCAACTTGGAACGTCGACTGGCTCGCGCGTAAGCGTCATTCCGTTTCACTGTGGGGTCAAATCAGTGGAATAAGAAGTGTCAAAGTGGGAAAACGTCGACTAGAACAGTTCAAGGGTCGTACGATTAATTCCGCAAGGATGGAAGAGGGTGTGCGTCGGCGGATCGGACGGCAAGAAAGGAAGTTCACTTATTGGCCAGCGTCTGCGTCCTCATATTGATCTGTTAGGGGTGGCTTCGCGGAGTGTCTACGGGTGGGACACCTGAAAACTGTCCGAAAATGTATTTTTGTTTGCGACTCGCACGTTTCCTTCTCGCCTCGGCGGTCTTCTGCGTTGGTAAGAACAGATCTCCGTGACTACTCGATTATGTTCGATCTCGTGGCGGATAAATGTGGCGGGGGTTGCTCAATCATATCCGTTTCCCAGTTCTCTGCTCCGAAGATGAGGAGAGGTTGGTGCGAGATTTGTTCCGAGGGTACAATAAACTCATCAGGCCCGTGCAGAACATGACGGAGAAGGTGCACGTGAATTTTGGCCTCGCCTTCGTGCAGCTGATCAACGTGGTGAGTTATTAATCGTTAAACGGAGTGGTTGAACATAATATTTTATGAAGAAGTTATTTCATAAAAATGAATTATCGGGATTCAAGCGATACTATTTTCTTTTCAGAACGAGAAGAATCAGATTATGAAGTCGAACGTATGGCTGAGATTTATTTGGACAGATTATCAACTGCAGTGGGACGAGGCAGATTATGGTGGAATCGGAGTTCTTAGATTGCCGCCAGATAAAGTCTGGAAACCGGATATCGTATTGTTTAACAAGTACGTATCGGAATAATTGTATCACTCAAATAGTAATTTCCTCTTGTTTGCACTTATGCTAATAGTTAGTAGTAGTAATTGTTTATTTCATACCTGGAAAGAGTACTATATTTACAATATACTTGTATGCATCCTATACACATAATTGTTTCTATATAATATTATAATATTTAATATAATACAGAGATTGTTCGCGATAATTTCAATCATCGTTTCTTTTATAAACGTTAGAAAAAACTGGAAAGGAGGAAGTTGTAATATATTTGGCTAGCAATCTGATGGCGTATCTACATTTTTTGTATGTTTAGTACTTTTCTCGGAAATATGGCCTCAATGTTTTTAAATAAAATCCTACAAATTTGTTTACTTCATATGAAAGCAGGCATTAAGACGAGTTTAACGATATAGTACACTTTGGTCTTCAGGGTAGAAATAAAAGAAAGAAGCTTAACGTTTCGTAATATTGTATTTACTAGTATGTTGTAGTAATAAGACATTTTGTGTTCAATGTGACTTTACATGGTTGTTAAAGATCATTATTTTACATTTGTTTGCGTTTGTAATTAATTCATCTTCCATCAAATATCTTTTTAGCCTTCTCATTATTTTCTTCATCTCTTCCGGATTATCTAATGTCGTTCGCATAAATTAATGTCCAAAATATTTTTCTTCCCACCAGCATTTCTCCCGCTCGTCCCCTTTAGATTTATATTTAAATTCTTGTTAAATTTAAGCGCTGACGGGAACTACGAGGTGCGGTACAAAAGCAACGTTTTAATTTACCCAAACGGCGACGTTCTCTGGGTTCCGCCCGCCATTTACCAGAGTTCCTGCACGATCGACGTCACGTACTTCCCCTTCGACCAGCAAACGTGCATCATGAAGTTCGGCTCGTGGACATTCAACGGCGACCAGGTCTCACTGGCTCTTTACAACAACAAGAACTTCGTCGACTTGTCCGATTACTGGAAGAGCGGTACCTGGGACATTATCAACGTCCCGGCTTACCTGAACACGTACAAAGGCGACTTCCCTACGGAGACGGACATCACCTTCTACATCATCATCAGACGCAAGACTCTGTTCTACACGGTGAACTTGATCCTGCCCACGGTTCTCATCTCGTTCCTCTGCGTTCTGGTCTTCTACCTTCCAGCCGAGGCCGGCGAGAAAGTCACGCTAGGGATCAGTATTCTGCTATCACTGGTCGTGTTTCTGTTGCTGGTCAGCAAGATCCTGCCGCCGACGTCCCTGGTACTTCCCCTGATCGCCAAATACCTTCTGTTCACCTTCATTATGAACACTGTCAGTATTCTGGTAACCGTGATCATCATCAATTGGAATTTCCGTGGGCCAAGAACACACAGGATGCCGCAGTTGATCAGAAAGATATTCTTGAAGTATCTACCGACGATCCTGATGATGAGAAGACCGAAAAAGACTCGTTTGAGGTGGATGATGGAAATCCCGAACGTCACGTTGCCCACTTCTACTTATTCCGGAAGCCCGACGGAGCTGCCGAAACATTTGCCAGCGTCATTGACCAAATCAAAGATGGAGGTCATGGAACTGTCCGATCTGCATCATCCGAATTGTAAGATTAACAGGAAAGTTCATCATACTACTAGTGGATCGAGCGCAGCCGGTGGGGAAGGATTGACTGACAGGAGGGGATCTGAGAGCTCGGATTCGGTGTTGCTCAGTCCGGAAGCTAGCAAGGCTACGGAGGCAGTGGAGTTCATCGCTGAACACTTGAGAAACGAAGATCTGTACATACAGGCAAGTAATGGCACTAAGTAAGGAACTTCTTTATATTTATTATAGAGTATCTGAAAGGATTTCAATTTTTATACCAGTCACTTGAATTATTAAGAGGCTAGGATAGCCACGTGACTGTTCTAATATTTATTGGTAAATTTTTGACGTTTTCTGTTCTATTTTTAATTACATTTAATAAAATTACCTGCAGAAATAGTGTATGTGTGTGTGTGTGTGTGTGTGAAATCATCAAATATAGTCTCATATCTTCTATTGAATTATATTATTTTATTTTTATTAGATTTGATAAATCAGTGAAAAATAAATCCAAGCTATAAATAAGAATAATAAAATGGCTTAGTATTTCTTTTTCTTATGTAATAGATTTAAAAAATAGAATATTAATTACATTAAATAAAATGAACTCCAGAAAGTAGTGTGAAATCATCAAATGTAGTCGTTTTCTTTTAAATTATATTATTTTATTATTATTATACTCGATGAATTATTGTTTGAAAATAATGTTGGTGGATGTTCCAGACAAGAGAGGATTGGAAGTATGTAGCGATGGTGATCGATCGGCTGCAGCTTTACGTCTTCTTTCTGGTGACCACCGCGGGTACCATCGGGATCCTCATGGACGCGCCTCACATTTTCGAGTACGTCGACCAGGATCGCATTATAGAGATCTACCGTGGAAAATAAATCCAGAAAAAATCTAGCGAATTACTAAAGAACGGCGTGCCGTTTCAGTGCTGCCGTCATTTTTCATTTCATCTGACATCTCTCATCGAGGTTCATTCACTTCATGTAAAAATACGTGTATCTGGTATTCGAAGTCGAGCAGTAGCACGTGCTCAAAATTCTTTTAATCTGTTATACGTTGTATTACGTCGGGAACTTTTCAATTTTAGGAAATCCTTTGTAAACAATCTTCGTGTTAAAGGTATTTATTTTCATCTCTTAATTGTTATTAGAAGAATAAAGTTTCATGAAAGGATTGCGTATCGATATTGATGAGGACAAGGAAAACTCCGGACGGAAATACTCATCTAAATTTTTATAACGATCAATCCTTTCTTTATTTTATACCGACGAACAACAGTCGAGATAAAAAGAACTCGTGAAACTGTCAAGGGACGAAGCTTGTGTGATCGATTTCATCGATTAAAATTATAGAATACAATTTTCTAAATTATTAAAAGATATTCCGGTTTATTTGCTTATGCCAATTGAATGAAATTAATTTCATAAATTCTTAGACAAATCAATTGTTTTTCAGATTATGTATTGAGTAGAATTCTAATTACTTTACAAGTTAATCATAATTGCACCCGTTAATTGTCTTCCTTGAACAACTTCGTCACGAGTATGTTAAAAATGTGCGATGAATACGAATAACGATTTTAAGAGAAACGAATATCCTATTGACCAAGCATCCTAGACGAGCAACTGGTTAATTGGGATTAATGATAAGCATAGAGCGTAGATATCAAATAATTTTGATATTAATCGTGCGAATTACTCTGTTGCCATTATTATAATCTAGCAGGAATTAAATCATCGCGAATGGAGAATCGAAGGGTCGTGACAATCGTTCATCAATCGACTGTACCTCGACTTTTCTATTTCGTTCTTCCTGAAATTTGAGAAGATTATTTTACAATCGAATAAAATATTCAACTCACATTTAAATTCAATTGTCAAGCGTGAAAATTTAATAGAAATCCAAATAAGGAAATCTGTGCTTGAGGCTTTCCCAAATATCTCAGCTGTCGAAAACGGAATTTCAATACGCGACTCGATGCTCGAACAGTTCTTCATCAACGTATGAAAAACTGAATCGTCGCGTCGCGTTCAACGGAAAGAAACGCACATTAGAAAGCACAACGTCGCGACCCCGAGCATTTAATCTTTAATTAAAATGGAAGAAATGAAAGAGTTTGGAAATATCGTATCGTATGATATTCGACGCTACCTGTAATATTGTACAGATTATTGTTAAAACGGTCATGTTTTCTCTAATAGAAAAGTTTTGCTCCGAGCGCGAGAGAATGTTTACGGTTACCGATTTCTAACGATCGTTAATTTTCTTATATTGTATCATATGTATGTATCGCCTACACTTGTACCTCGCGAATCGTCCCGATTGTTAAGTACAATTATATGAAGTGTTATCAGATGATCGTCATATATGATTAGTGCAGGACGCGATCGAGCAGCTGATTCCCTGTGCCAAGGGTGGCGAGCTTTCCCCGATTCTCTGATGTTATTGGATGATCTTTCTGTAGACTCTCAGTGGCAGATAATAAGCCTACTGACGTAGTCGCCTTCATTCTTAAGCATTCTTACTTCTACAAATGTATAAGCGAAGTTCTATAAGACGATTCGACAATTCATATAGTTTGCTCAGGATTGGAGGGACGTCCCTTGGGATTCGACTTTCGACATTTTTGGGATTTTTCTCTCAGAATCTAACTTATCAAAAATTCTGAAAAAAATGCTAAAATCTACTGGTATACGAGTAATATATACGTGAATTTTTTCAAATTCCTAGATTACAAATTAGAATTATAAAAATCGATAATGTCTCATAAGACTATATTTCTATCAGAATTATTCATTAATTACTTTCTCCCATATTAATGAATGAGATGTCATGAAAAAATTTAGAGATGTACTACTGTACGAGTAGTATATGTGAGAATTTTTTCAAATTTTTAGATTGCAAACTGAAGTAGAAAAAAATTCACAGAGAATGAATATCAATTTCAATCTTGATTCTCAGTTGAATTTAATTAACAATTTTGCAATGAAAAAGTTCTGAAAAATTGAGGCACATTACCTTGCGCGTGCTTAACGCTTCCTTAGTTGGGGAACAGTTGAGTTAAAAGTAGGAGTTGAAAGCTACAGAGGGTAAGAAGCTCGCCACCCTTGCGTTATGCCATACATATTTAATTATTCTGTTATCTGTCAATTTAAACGTTGAGCAATTCGTCGGCTAGGAAGCAAAATGCAATAATTCAGTTAAGCGCTGAAGATTCTAACAACTTGAGCATTGGAGAATGTACAGTTCGTGGATAGCTTTCCTTAATATGATTTTTAGTTGACAGCACGTCAAAAACTCATAAAACTGAAGGATGTATGTATAGTTTATCAAGGAATAGCTACTCGGTAAGCTGGAACAACTGGAATTAATCAATTAAGCCTCATGAAATGATGTCTATAAAGTNCTTCAGTTTTATAATTTCTGGATGTACTGCCAACTTAAAATTATATTAGGAAAAGACACCCGTCGTTCTTCAGCAGTCAGTCGAGTTAGTAAGTTCTTCAGTGCTTAGCTGAATTATTACGTTCTGCCTCCCAGCCGACGAATTATAAATTAAATGAAACTCAAAAACAGGAAGAGATACTTCCTTAACTATTGAAATAATTCGGCAAACTTTTCTCGTTTCATTTATTCATAAGGGAATTATCTGGTTCGTTGTATGATTAATTCGATCTCGTCCTGTGTAATACAAATTCTAATTTCACTACCGCGTAACCGAACGAAGCGCAGCAAACTTTGAATTAAGACATCCCTGCATCCACGTTCTTTCTGTTCCGACCGATCAACGAGGAATCAGTTCGAGGCAAATGCATGTCATTTTGATAATTTTATATACAGACATAAGGGTGAAAAGTAATGCGTGAATCTGGAATTTGGAACACCTTGAGAGAACAAAAAAGGCGATTTTTCTAACGTTTTAATACTAACCTGAGGAAAATGTAAGCTTCTCTGGGATGACAGAGATAATTCGGATTTCAGGTCGTGAATAATGTACGAAAAAGTGTCGCCTTTCGTTTTTTAAATGAAATTCGTTCGTCGAACATTTCGTGATTCGTTAATACCCTAAGCTTGTACGTAAAAACCCGATGATGTGCGCTGCACACACTGCATTCGCGATTAGGGTGACCAGTTGATAGAGTGACACGTGTCTTCCTTGAACGAGATACAATAACTAGAATTTAGTGTCCGACTAACGAGGTAAACATTAGATAATGCTTATTGATTTCTATATACATTTTACTTCCATACTATATTTTATAGCGTTGTTCACCCGATTTACGGTGCGAATGATAATGCGTATGAGAATCATTATGGAACGGTTTTAATTTACACTTTAAGATGCCAGTTTCCAGGTAGTCTTAAATAATTTTCATACCTATTTTCTAAATCATTTAAATCAGTTTCATACTTTTTATAGGAAATTCGTATTGAATACCAAATAACACTGTACAACATTGTTATAATATCCATTATGCGATTCTTATTTTTGATTCATACTTTTTATAGGAAATTTGTATTTAATAACAAATAATTGAACATTGCGTAACTGGCATCTTTTTGATTAACCCTAGAATATTAACGTAAGCAATTTTTATGTTTTTTACTGTTCACTAGATATTAATGTCAGGAGAGAAGATAATTAAGTGTTAATAGCGTAGCAAGTATGTACTATGAACATTATACATTTATAATTATTACGAACAATAATATTTGTCAGAATAAATGCGGCTATTTAAAAACGAGAATATTAGATATTCTGGGGTTAATATTATTACATGCGTATGTACATTTATTTAAAAAGTATTAAACACATTGGTTTCGATATGACGAATTTTTTTATATTTTCAATATCAAGTAAATTTTATTTCATAGACGAATAATATAAAAAGAGTATTATAAAAATGCGTGAGTTCTCTTCTTAATTCTCACGCAAAATTGGAAATATCCTAACAGACGTAGTTGGGAATATAATTATCGTTGATATTGAATAAGTGACTTATCGTTTTATCAGCGTTACAACAATCAAACCGTTTTGGAATTTACCGCACAAAATAATGTGAATGGCGCTAATTAATAAACACGTGAACAAATTATCGCTGGTTTCTTCCACTTAAAGTACACGAACTAATAAGAGAATATG